TTAACTGCTAAACAGTCACATGTTTTTATTCGGTTTCATAAATTATAATACTTTTTTGAATAGTAGATCTAGAATGTCTCAATATGTTTCGTTCGATCTTCCGTTTTTTGACAGTAAAATCTTAAATGTCACATAAAATGCCGACTATATATACAGAAATTATCGACGCTCGTTGACTAGTTATTTGGTTGTAAAAATTGTTATTGACATCTTTTATACTGTTTTGCTTCATTGATTATTACGACGACTTTTTGCCATTGAATCATTTTTTAGAACACTGAATTTACAATGTTTTATTTGATAAAAACACCTAACATATTGTGAATTACCATTATTCTTCTGATATGATACTCAGACCCAACGTTTTGGAGATATGTTTACCGGAAAATTGATCATTATCTATGTACTGGATGCAAAATTGTAAATATATTGTTGAGTCAAATAATAGTGCCATATTATTTACCTATGTTTACTCATTTAATTATTCTTTCATAACAAATTATGGTTAATAAACACTCATATTTGTCATGGCGCTACTTCTTATAGTACTGTAACGTTTCGATGAAATTATCATCTTTCATTCAAGATAAAAAATTAACCGTTTTGATAGATGATTACACTAAACGCTTTAATAAAATCAGTTTAAGCTATAAAATGTTTTTAGATATTTTTCCCTGACTTCAACTTAAATAAATAAAATGAATTTCATAGTTTGTGTGATGAAGTGAAATTAATTAGATCATGATTGAAAATCAAAATTTACTGAACAAATGTTTCGTCCTGGTATAAGGCTCCTCAGCAGTACATGTCTACGGCTCAATCAGGGATTGAAACGATGACCTTGAGATTTTCAAACGAACATTAAACTTTTAAACCACTAAGCTCCCATTTACCTTAAATTCATTCAAAACAAATGATATCATTTCAATTATATTAATATTTGATAGGACTTGGAAATTTTCCCATATTAATTCAACTTACCTTTATAGCTCATCTTCATTATAAATTATGACCTTATTTCAACAATAATTATTATAATTTTTAGACCAATCAAAATTCACATGAAAACTTACTCAACTCAAAATTCAATAATAATAGTAATAATAATAATAATACTTATTTAAAACAAAAGCCATAAAAATAAAGAGGGAATTATACCCAAAAATAAGAATAAACATCCGTGAAAGGTATTTTTATTTTCTTATATTGCCCTTTTCTCCACAATAGAATTTTCTCAAATGTTTAATTGATTAAATTATTTATTATAATAATTTCTAACTAATGAATAGTTCAAGTGATAATAGAAAATAAAATATTTACCTTTTAATAAAGTACATTGTTTAGTGGTGAAAACAAAGTTTGATTTTTGTTAAGTGTATTTACGAATGAGAAAGTACTTGTAAACTAACATATCTTGTAATAAGTAATATATATATATAAGAATAATGATTAAACTATTGTACTCGTTTTCAATTTCATCAGATTTCAACCAGTTCAAAGATCATTTTGAAGAGACTATCTAAAAATATTATACGTCCAAACAAAAAATCAATCCTATCCGTAAAGGCAGGTAATTTCCAATTATTGATAATCAGGACTGTAATCTTTCAGTTTCTGTTGGCATTTATATTTAATGAGAATTAGGCATAATTATTAATTCACAAGGTTACTAAATGGTAAGCTAAAGGTAATTAATCGTTTTCTGATTAAATTTATTGTTTAAACTTCATATATTTGTGATATTTTAAATGGAAAATGCTTTTTTTGCTTGTGTGCTGTGTGCTAATTATGTCGACATCAGCAGCACATGACGTTAGTCGTCAACAGAATGTCTGGCAGTATAGAGACAAGAGGATCGAACAGTAAAGAATGGAAACAGAATGTAATTTGTATGAAAATGCAAGAACAATAAAGTTTGAGACAATTTGATGAACATTTTGCAAATTAAACATTTACTTTACGGTTGTTAGATTTTATTAACAAGTCCTGTGATTTTGTGTCAAGTACGTTCGATTGTCCCCACTCGTCTTCTTATTTACTACACTTGTACTTGTCAACAAGACGTATTTACACTCTCAAAAGAATTAGTGCTTCGATTAAGATCAGGACTCACGTCACCCAGCTCCTTAGTCTGAGATGTCACCATTCAGTCGCTTTGGATCCAAGTTAGGCCTCAAAATAGAACATTAAATCCCTCAAAAATTCAGATACGTCTTGCTAACAAATGAAAGGTTCTGCATGATTTAGGTCTAAGGTATCTTATCGACTACCTTCAACTAATTATTATCAAAACATAGTACATCTGATATCGAGTCACTTGAACTAAAAGTCACATTCAAAACTGACCGATATAATTCTATCGAAATCAAAGACTAGACGAACTTGACACTGGTTACCACTCAATAATCAAACTTTAAATTAGTCATAATTTGTGGAAATTGTATTTGAAATAGTCTCAGCGACTGAAATTTAAATAATTAAGACGTTCTGTCCAGAAAACTTGCCTGGACTTCTTCAGTGCAATAATCAACAAAATATATCAACCAACACACATTATCACATATTAATTTATGTTTATAGTGTGAACTTTTCACATGATTCACGTTTAACTGACTCACGTTACCATACAAACGAAAGTCAACATCTGACACGATTGAATAAATACAATATAGATTTTATTTGACTATTAAACATTATGATTTTGATTATTACCCTTGCGAACTCCAGATAAGTTCACTAGACAAAAAGTCGGAATTTTCTAAACTCCAATCGCTCAGATAATTTCGAATTTTTTCACTCGGCGCCCAAATATTGACGAATATTAAAAACCGATAAAAAGACTATAAGTTTAGTAAAACCTGGGATATATTTACAATGTACATACTATATTACAATGTGGATTAAGCCGGGAAGTCAAACGATCAATTATTGATTCACTGGTTCAAAGTATTGTGCCAGCTACGAGACCTGTAGGTTATGGGCTCGATTCTGTATATAATCCTGGATCTTCACCGTTCAGGAGTCCTGAATTTAGGTGAAACAGTTGTCCAGCACTCCCTTGAAATCTTTGTCGTAGCTGTTGTTTATTGCCTGCGACAATAAGTTTATAGTAGTTAAACATAAATTTTCTATAAGGGTATTGAAAAATCCATAAAAGGATCTGACGTTTTTCAATGTGTTGTGGAAACTTTCTCGTCACTCAACTTCATCTGGAACTTACTATGCAATCTAACGAAGTCATAACATGAATGAGTAAAATGAATCTTAATTACAGAATAATGGAAAAATTTTAATTATATGAATTGATTGACTACTGAGTAGTGACCAATATCCTATACGTCAAGTCCCTCTTAGTGCTAACTGAATTTTTTCGACCGAATTACAATGTGGCCACTAGTCTAAGTGACTTGATATCGTGCACTTCATATTAGGATGTTGGATGGTGGGTGAGGGTAGTCAACAGGAAACCTTGCATGAACGAGGTCTCGTTCTATGTGGCACTTGTAACTAAGGATTATTCTTCAGGGATTATGTGCTCTCAAGTAGACTCCATTTAGTGTCGTCCATCCCACAAAAGTACTTAAACACTTCTGACAAGTTTCAAATAACACGCAACCCAGATCCATGATTCCCAGTCGAGTACCTCCAGACACTACCTTATGACTTAACTGAATATTTGAGGAAATACTTTTATTTTAGCAAAGCAATTTTACGTAAATGCATATCTAGTAGAACAATATGATATTTTCGAGGAAAGCAGATCATTTTTTCAACTATTGTAGTAACCAAAACTTTTATGAAAAGAGATGAATTCAATTCAAACACACTATCTTGCGCACTTCTCATAGTAGAGGTTGAAAAGATAGAATTCAACGACCCACGTTGAATCCTGACTCCGAAACTACTGAGATAAAAGAATGCTTTGTACAAAGATCTGTAGTAACCACACGGGTTAGAGGGTCCCAACATCGGGAATTTTACGATGAACGTCCATAGATCTTCTGTTTTTAATCTCTATTAATAATCTGCTGGATTAACAGAAGACCTGAATGTCAATATAAGGCGGTCAGAATTCACTTGAGCTTTAAAAGGACCTTGCAGAAATAGAGGGATGAGGAGCACACAATGGGTCAAAACTCAACTTGTCAAAATGTTGTGTAATGACCGCTTGCCTCACTTGATACCAAGCACTTGCATTATTCATAGAAATCTGCTCCCGATTATCTCTTCAAAGAGTGATATCAAGCTTGTAACCACGAAGAGTTTAGACACCAGCCTAAACTACATGGGGGATGCAGCCAAGGTAAACGCACTCCACTACTTTATGTGGAGACAGCTAGGAGAAATCACCCCAACCACATTATGATAATATCATTATCGCACCTCTTGAAGCAACCCTCGGAATGTTGTACAACGAAGAGCAAACACCCAGGTGTGCTCTTACGTTTACCACTCAATCCTCTCTCAGTTAAAATGAATGGAGCACCATCGTTGGATAGCCTTGAGAGAAGGATTGACAAACACGTACTTACCTGTTGACTATCGTCTTCCTCTTGGATCAGCTGTGTCTTATGCATTTCTCACAAATTACGACGTTTATCGTTACCGCATATCTGTAACTACTTCCTAAGTCTCTCATTATCATCCGCTTCTGCCCTCTTTTTTTCCATATTACGTCTTATTATACTGTCTACATTACCAAGTGGTTGGTTCATTTATTTACCTACCAACTTATCTACATAATATTTTTTGAAACAACAGTTTCCATGGTGGTCTAGTTTCAACTGACTCATGATCTTAACCATTGAAATTACTACAATCTCCACAAAACCCATATTATATTAAAACCATAAAAACTACTAAAATGACTAGAATTTGTGAAGTCGGGGGAATGAACTATCATCAATTGTACATTCTCAAATACCCGGAACCGTAATGAAATAACAAGTAGTGAACTCAAAAGAATCGATCAGTTTATACAAGCTCGTGTCATAGATATTGGATATAAGACTGAAGTGATCGTTTTCGAATATTCAAGGTCAAAGTAAGTAAAGCAGCGTTCAGTTGTTAGTTATCTTGCGTCCAGCCTAAAGGTGTCTTGCGTGTTTAGAGAGCATGAAAAGCAGTAAATCTGAGTTAATTTAAGATGGAAATTAACATGAAAACAGTCTACATGGATTGGTAATAACACAAACGTATGGTTAAGATAGTCTGAGAATGAAAACTAAAGTTTGGTATCGCATTGTTTTAAGTAGTGATTAACCGTACACCGTTTGTTTAGTGCTCAGTAACTAAAATAACAGTCCCTTGTAGACGTGCTCTCGCTTGTTTTCTAAAGCTGCGTGAAATATTTCAGCATGATTTTTGAGCTTCTCAGTTTTAAGTAAATCAAGGATCAGAGCCTAATCTCCCTGTTTTCAAGAAACTTTTGGGGGCTTCCCTAAACTTTGGGGAAAACTTCAAAATCGGGGGATTGGAAGTGGCTCTACCTCAATACAAAACTTGGAAATCAATGAGTCTACAAGTGAAGGATATATTGGGGCATCCATATAACAACGAGCTCCTTTTTAAATCATATCTGTGAGATAGCAGCTGGCGAAATTAATGGTTCTGACAAAGCTCACCTGCTTGAGTGAAACTCATATGCAAAGGCTTGATATTTCGGTTTATCTGAACAATGTAACCAGACTACCATCCGAAGAGACTATATCTTATGCGCAAATCAACGAAATTAAGGACAGAAAGTCCTGGATTTTCATATGGCGGGATAAAAAGTCGAAATCAGATTTTGAGTCGTGATATTTGGTGAACATTATTGTTTCTTATACAATTTGATGACTATTTAGAGTAATATTTCCTCTCTGTTGTGATATTCTATTCGTTATAACACTAATTCATTTAAGTGTAATGTTTAATAATAATTTTCTTGTTATGTCCCAATGAGTGGAAAATTGTATTTCCGACGTTACGTGACTTATACAAGCCGCTTCTTCAGAGTAAATGAATCAGTCAGTAACAACGTAGAACTCCGTACGTACGTACATCAGTTCGAGTTACCGTACCACATTAACACAGAGATGCAGTTGTCGATTCAAATCCCGCAGCCATGTAAGTGATGCCCACCCCGAGGCAGCATGGAATGATATCCGAAAAGCTGGAAATAGCAGTGATATCTACTAGTAAGGTAAACCATAAAGTTAGGGGAAAATACTGGGTCTCAGCAGCATCTACCGCACTGATAGGTGCTCGAAAACTCATCCCTTTCTGGCTCTAAACATGACGAAGAGTTAAGTCAGGCTGATAAGAAGCCTGCGCAATGATCGCGGACAGTGGTGGGTAGCGAAAGCTCGAGATGGAAAAGGCAGTGGCAATGGGTAATAGCAGACAACTGTTCAGACTTGTCAAGGAAACCGGTATTAGGAACCCAACTGTTAGCGAGACTATCTCAGAAGAAGATGGATATATTATTCATTCTCAGTCCAGGAGATTGGATCGATGGGCAGAACACTTTAAGAATCAGTTCAACTGACCGTCAGCCACACTTCGGTTCCCCACGATTTCCAGTTAACCTAAATAGCTTATATCACTTCCCGGTTTCCCACACCGTGGAAGGTTACTTCTTCAGGAACCTTAAAATGAAGTTGGATTAGTGTTGGTCTTAACGACCTGGGAACGTTACCGCAGAACCCAAGGGTCAACTGCTTAAAGCTGGTCACGCACGGGATTTTTGTGGGTTTTTGACGTGTTAGCTCCATTCTTCAAAGGACCTTACCACCGTAGACGGAAATTCGTGAAGTAAAGTGAGGCATGATATTTTTTTAGGGTCGACCTTTTCGAATCCCTTTCTCCTTTGTAAGAAGGCGGCATCGCTGCAGATGCTGGTTGTCCGAGGGAAACACCTTACTGCTGTCCCACTCCTCTACAGTCACCAGTACGACTTCGCCCTCAGACCTTGAGTTGCTGCTTTTAATCTTGCCGTTCTCCAATCGACCTATCTGGCATGGTAGAACCTACAGGAACATATGTTCCATCCAATATAGCTCGGTTGGGTCATCGCGATAGGCAAGCCGGACCACCACGTCGAAGTAGCAGCTACGGTCGGGAGAGTAAATAAATAACTGATGTCTATTCGAGGTACGATATCCCCGTATTAAGTTAACATGAAATACGATCTGCATGACATGCAGCATGTGATTTGTTATAACGCTTGGTATTTTTCATATGTGTGGTTTTATTCTAATTAATAAACGAAATAGGTGTATGATCAATATATTAGTGTATTTTTGACTAGGTTCGTCGTCGTGTTTTGGGGTCAATAAATTTTCGCTTGTACCAGTCTCGGTGTTCTTACTTCACATCGTGGGAATTGCATTGGTTTATCGTTGTTCTTTCAAGTATAAATAATAAGCGACGCATATACAACAGATTTCGACGCTAAACTTATCTATACTTATATGCAAATAGCATCCCAGTATTATAGCTGTTGTCGATTTGTGGCGAAAACTCTTACTTTAATTCTTAACCCTAAATTCCAACTTTAAATCGTAATCCTAATTACTCATACTAATTTCTAACCTATTTTTGACCTCACTAAGGTGATTTGTCTTAAGGTTACTTTCAGTCAGTCAGCTACAACGTAGGACCAGGCACATATGCATCGGTCCAAGTTGCCATACCGCATTAGCACAGAAAGATGAACACCGGATTCATAGGAGTGGTTAGGTCAATGGTGGTAATATATAAAAAAAGATTGCATATGAGGATATAGTACAGGAAGAAAGAATTAGTTCGTGGAAAGAAATATATGAAGCGATTTTAATCTCATGGTTTGTGGAAAGATAAACAGTGTATACACCGACGCCAATGTGACCGATTCTGGGCCATGTCACACAGAGTTATCCAACCATTGATTACAATAGTCAAGTAGAACCCAACCAAGTAATCTACATCTTTCAAAATGGTTCAGTCTGAAAGTCAGTGACTTCAAGCACTGATGCCACTTTTTGGTTTGGCCGCCCCTAACTTTCTTCCAACCATCCCGAACACCGGTTAGCTAAGTACAAGGAATAACAGGAAGTGAAGACGGAGGTTGATTATGAATACAGTGGTCTTGAGTGCTGTTAGAGATATGAGGGCGGTTATCACTTCCCGGTTTCCCACACCGTGGAAGGTTTGTTCTGGAGGTACCTGAAGAGGAAATTGGATTAGAGGTGGTCTTAGTGACCTGAGAGTGTGACCGTAGTGCTCAAGGGACAACTGCTTGAGGTCGGTCACACACGATCTTTTTATGGGTAATTTTTGTGTTAGCTCCGTACTTGCTGAGACCTTACCGCCGGAGATGAATATCCGTGGGATAAGGCGAGGTGTGCATTTTTAGGGTCGACCTTTTCTAGTGGCTTTATCTGAGAGTGGGTCAGTGGTTCCTTATTCTCAGAGTTTCTTCCACTAGAGACCGACTTTCCAACCTTATCCCAATATTACCTATAGTCTATGTGTGTACCCCTAATGATACTCATGATGCCCATTACCCCCCTCATTTATCTTGTTCAGACCTGATTGAAATAGATTTCTAAACATTTAGTGTTTTCGTACTAGCTGCGTTAACCCAGTGACCTTTACTATAATCTAGCTAAAACTTACCACGATTCAACTTGTACTTAACACCTGGTTTATTGGTAAACTGATTATTTATTTATTTTATTTAAACAAACATAGGTACAAGAAGGCACCAAATAGATATCCGCCACATAAATCATTCGATTTGTGTGAGGGCTCGAATACTGCCCGGGCGCACAAACCGAGGCAGATGGTCTTCTTGGAGGGCCACTTCCCGAGCCTCTGACCTAGAGGTCTAATCCATAAGGCAGTGGAGCAACGTCAAGAGATGCAGTCCCATGGTAGCCGTTGGTCAGCTATAGGTTCATACTCAATTTTCCCCTTAGGATCCTGGGACCTATGTGCACTATTGGTTTGGAATCAGGGTTTCCCAATTCCCATAGATAGATCCTCTACATCCGTTAACCCGGTTAAAACGCCGGACATTCGCTTTTCGTCCTCTCAATTTTTTAAATAACACCCCCACTGTGAGAAGATAGTGAGTAGAACTTCCCTGACACTGGCTGTATACGCGTTGCCATGTGAGAGCATTTCAAGAGACAGGGTAGAATCTCCCCACCCTCGACCGTACCAGGTCATTTGGGGTTGATTTTACTTTACATTCTATACGTGTGATCATCTCATAGGACTGCCGGACTGCATCTACGAGTGAAGCTCATGAAAATTGGTGAGTTCTTGTTGACCAGTTTCATTTTCATTCTGTATGGTATCTCAATGCAGTTGATGTTCTTTTTGTTCAGGTTTTTAATGAAAATAGCAGATGTTGAACAGTGCGCTTTTAATTCATGGTATCACACTTTTGAATCTTACACTCAAGAAAGGTACACTATGTAAATGATACCACTGATAAACTCTCCTACAGTATATTTATAAATCTCCCAGATGACCTTATAGCTTCATTGACAAATGACGAATTCATTCTCCCTAAAAGGTAATTGCCGTAAATATATTGGAAATTAGGTAGTTTTGATTCATTCTCTTATTTCCTCTCTAAATAACCAATTAATTATATGGTTAGACTAAAACTAATGAGCTAGCCATGCCCGTTAAATTTCTCCCACTTATCTAAATTCATTCTTGATTTATCTGCCACTTTTTGTGCGGTCCCTCGAATAATTTGAAAGCGAAAGCAAAACTAGTAGCTGGGAAAAAATATTTTTTCTGCAATAAAATGACTCGCTTATACACAAAAAATAACATGGCAAAATACGACAGACTATTCGAGGAAATTAGTTTCCAGACCACTCCCTCTTGCACATCGTGTTATACATTTTGTTTATTTTTGAAACATACCTAATTCCTTTTATGTCAGGCACTTATCTGTCTGGCGCACTCGTGTGCTACTACAACTTAGGCAAACGAACTAAGACATACAAATGATCATACATGTTGATCGGATTAACAGTTCACTGCGATAATCATGTGTAGTGCATTGCAATATCTAATTTCCAATAAATGATCAAATATAACAGAAGTTACTAGATATCATTACGTAGTATTTTGCGACATGAAGATGGTAGGCGAAGAAAAAATGAAGACAATATAGCATAAAATAAATACAATACTGCTATATTATTATTATTTCTATTAGGTGAGATTTAATGTTATGTTGTATATACACTTTTCATAGTCCTAGTAAATTCTGTGTAGAAAATAAAGTTGCTGCTCTTTATTCTTTAAATTTAGGTTGTTGTACTTTCCATTTACCAAACAGTAATGTTTAATTATTTATTTAAAATGCCGAGCTTAGCACGTCTTTGTTACAAACTATAAATATTCTGCCTCTTTGAATGTATGTTTTTAGTGCAAAACCAACAAACGGACATCTGTCGGACCTAGACAATGACGTGAGTTACAAAAACGTTTTTTTCATGCTACTTATAAAATGCATAGTAGCCCAATCGTTAAGCTTTACGTCCCATATGTTGTTCGGGGCCAAAATATTACTTGGTTAGTATAAATAAATCAGACGAAGTGGGATTGAATCCACGTTGAATGCTTGAGATCCGAGTCGATAAACAATTAAACCGCATCTTTACGATCAAATATGATATTGTATTCAGCTTTAGTCAGGATGAATCATTATGTAAAGTTGTGTTACGATATGCTTTAACTAGTTTTGGATGTCTGTGCAATCGTTTACTGCGTGGCTTTTGGTCAGCGATTTGTTACATCGAACTCCTTATGTGATACATGATTGTGTACTGCATAACAGTAATTTAATACCCAGTTTCCTGCCCTCAGTAGGCATTCATGACCATTTAAACTTGTTTATTCAATTTACTTATTTATTTACTCCGAAAAAGTTGTTTATATTGTCACAAAACGTCGGAAATACAATTTTTCTACTCACTAGGATATAACTGCCGATTCCAAGCTCTGGTAAAGGGGTAGAGTTGAGCATAGGGTCGGCAACTCCATCCTGTTAAAAAAAACCTTGCTAAAAAACGCCAACCAGAAGAAACAAATTAAACCATTTGAACTCTGACCTGGGAGTTGAAAGAAGAATTATGACGCCTCGTGATGAAATTCGAAATTTTTCCAACGTCACGAGGCTGTCGCTCCTTCTAACAACCACAACAACAATTAATATAGGTACATGGAATGTCCGGACAATGTGGGAGACCGGGAGAATCAGTTAAATATCAACGAAAATGAGGCGATACAACATTTCAGTAGTCGGAATAATTGAAACCCATTAGACCCAAGCTGTACAGCAAAGGTTAGGTACGGAAGAGATGCTGCTGTACTCTGGTCACGAAAAAAATGCTCCGCACACAAAGGGAGTTGCTCTGATACTGTCCAAAGCAGCACGAAATTCACTTATAGGATGGGAATCTCATGGGTCCAGGTTCATCAAAGCATCATTCAAAAAAAAGAAGGGAATCACAATACATGTTATCCAGTGTTATGCACCGATCAATGATAGCAATGAAGACAATGAAGATCAGTTTTGTAAAAGGCTGTAATCGATCGTAGCGAAGTGCTCAGGAAAAGACATGACGATCCTGATGTGAGACTTAAACGTCAAGGTCGGGATGGAAAATATCGAGTAAGAAGATAGCATGGGACAACATGGATTGACTAGAAAAAAGGAACGAAAATGGTGAGAGATTTTCAAATTTATGTGCATCCAACAAAATGGTTATAGGTGGCACAATATTCTCCCTCAAACGCATACACAAAGCTACATGGGTCTCACCAGATCACACTGCAAAGAACCAGATTGATCATATTTGCATTAGTAAAAAATTCACAAGGTTAATGGAGGACGCGTGAACCAGGAGAGGTTTAATACAGCCTTCCTTCGACAGACTGACAAACTCAACGAATTTAAGTTAACTCTCAACAACAGGTTCCAAGCCGCACGGGATCTACTGAGAAAAGAAACTACTATGGAGGACAACAAGAAAGGGGTCAAAGAAGCACTAACTTCAACATTTTAGGAGGTGCTGGGAGGCAAGAAGCATCATGATAGGGAATGGACCTATAGAAACCCGGGACAAGATTGAAGAAAGGAAGATCAAGAAGACAGCAATTAACAACAATTGAACAAGAACAGAAAAAGTCAAGGCAAAACTGAATACACAGAAGCAAATAAGCAAGTGAAGAGGAGAATTAGAGCCGGCAAACAAAAATACATGAAAGCACTAGCAGCGACAGCGGAAAAAGCTGCAAAAGAAGGAAATGTGAAACGACTATATGACACAACGAGGAAACTGGCGGGGAAATATAGTAAACCAGAGAAAGCAGTCAAGCACAAATAAGGTAAGACAATCACCGAGATTCAAGAACAAAGGAACAGATGGGTGAAATACTTCAAGGAACTCTTGAAAAGACCACCTCTATTGAATCCACCAAACATCGAAACAGGAAAGAAGGACACCTCATCAAGATACCAAAGAAAGATCCAAGCAAATACGAGAATTACAGAAGCATCGCAATACTGTCAGTACCAGAAAAGGAGCGTTGCTGAACCGGATGAAAGACCCAGTAGACGCACAAATTCGAGATCAACAGGCTGGATTCCGTAAGGATCGGCCGTGCACAGACTAAATCGCGATACTACAGAGCATTGTTGAACAACTAGTTAAATAGAGCTCGTCACTATGCCTCAACTTCCTTGATTATGAGAAAGTATTTGATAGTGCAGATAGGAGAACATTATAGAATCTTCTTCAACACTATGGAGTTCCCGAGAAATTTGTCAATATCATCCGGAATTTATACGACGAACTGCAGTGCGAAGTCGTGAATGGAGAAAAGCTGCCAGACATTCCAAGTGAGGACCGCAGTCGGACAAGGCTGCTTAGACTCACCCTTTCCCTTTCTTTTGGTGGTCGACTGGATTATGGATGCCTCGACATCTGAGAGGGAACGCGGAATACAATGGATAGCTCGGAATCAATTAGAATATTTGGAATTCGCAGATGACCTGACCCTTCTATCCCATACACATGAACAAATGTAGATGAAGACAACTAGTGTAGCGGCAGTCTCTGCATCAGTAGGTTTCAGGATACACAAAGAGAAAGGCAAGATCCTCAAATACAACACGAAGAACACCAATCCAGTCACACTTGATGGAGAAACTCTGGAACAGGTGGGAACATTCACGTATCTGAGTAGCATCGTTGATGATTAAGGAGGATCTAATGCAGACATGAAAGCAAGGATTGGTGAATCAAGGGCAGAAATTTTACAATTGAAGGACATATGGGACTCAAAACAACTGTCAACATACATCAACGTCAGAATCTTCAGTACGAACGTCAAGACAGTTCTGATGTACGGAGCTGAAACGTGAAGAACTATCACAACCATCATCATGAAGGTACAAGTATTTATGAAAAATTGTCTACGTAAGATACTTAATGTCCGTTAGCCGGATATCATCAGTGACAGCCTACTGTGGAAGAGAACTAGCCAGCTTCCGCCTGAAGAGGAAATTAGGTAAAGACTCTGGAAGTAGACAAGATATTCATTTCGGAAATCACCAAACTGCATTACAAGGTAAGCGCTAACTTGGAATCTTTAAGGTAAACTTAAAAGAGCTTCCTCTTTTAAGAATCGGAAGCAGACATGAAAAGGAGTGCCCAGGACAGAGTTAGATAGAGAATACTGGTGAAAAGTCTGTGCTCCTCCACGAGGGGTAGCAGGCATAATTAAGTATTAACCTGTCTACTCAATGTTCAATTTATTTTAAACTATCAAATCTAAGCTTGGTATTGATACCATTATCGTGTTTTACTTATAATCGTCTCATATTTTCTTAAAAAGTGTTTTAATTGTTATAATTTCAGGGCATTTGGTCAGACTATTCCGATACTGATGAAAAGAACTCAGAGGTAATTATCACCGAACAAAATTTGAAAAACATTCCGTTAAGAGACCAGAATTTCCTCAGTTCGAATCTCAGTTGAAAAGTATCATCCGGAAGTTAGGTGGTGTTGTATTTCCGAAGTTAAATTGGAGCGCCCCATCTGTAAGTATTGTATTTCAATATATTTAATTGCTATAGGATGCATCTTGGATGTCTTTCGATGGGTCACTGAAGTGCAAAACGTTTTCCGATATTTACTTACTCCTTAAATCTTCAGATTTCGCAGCACATGACTTAACTGCTCCGTAATGTGTATATTTATACAAACATAACGACCGATATTTTGCGTTCCTTTAGTTTCGCTCTGTGTACAGATACTCCAGCAGAGAAAAATTGCTGTCTTTTCAATTCCAAACCGATTCTTGTTCTACGAAGGTGGTATGACTTTCGTCCTGAGGAAGAATTCCGATGTTTCATTAAATCAAAAGTCCTTATTGGTAAGTTAATCGTAGTGTTACGTCCTTGTGTGTTGTTTGCCCTACTATTTTATATGAGATTTAAGTTGTCATACATGCTGTAGGAGTTGTAAAGATCCGAACTAGTCAACATACACCATAATCCTAGAAATCAATGCAGCTCAGTAATATACGAGATAATGGACTACATATGTTTTATACAAATCAACAGCAGATGAGGCAAGCTTTTATCGACAACAAAATGCCTTTGATACTAAGTGTCTATACTGTATTATTATCCTCATGTTACAAATTAGTATTGTCAAGTTTGAAGTTTGTGCAACAATAAACCAGTTGTTAAATTTGGCAAGTAAATTTGTTACTTTTGTCCATTTATCATCCTGAATTATTCTGATGCACTCAAGAGCATAAAGGAGAGTCTTTAACTTCTCAAGGCTTTGTCATATAGCCTTTATGTTAATAAAAACACCCGACACGTAAACTTAGTTGGGAGGCATGCAGAGACCTCTTCGAGGAATTCGAAAACTTATTTGAAATCAGTGTTGTAAACGAGCTCTGGAGTCCTAAGTGCTCCTAATCCCCTTAGTAGTCACTTTTTGAAGACTTACACTCAGTGTTGTGTGGGACTCAGATATCCTAAGACTACGAGTGCCATTAAAGCATTCCTTAGTTAACGTTTACATCTTGTTATTTGTTATGACTCGTCAAAATGTCACGTGACAAAATTCCCAATCCGAACACCGACTTATGTAACCTTGACCCTATGTTAAACCAATGGTGCGTTAACCAGCACGAGCAGTCTTGATTCAACTCTGAGTCCTTATTGGTCCTCTGTATAGTAACTTTTCGCCTAGCCCAGCCCGTTCAGTCCCGAACACAAATAAAAACCTCCACTGTATGAATCGTATATTTCAGACATAATTGGTTTTGTATACCCGCAAATGAGACCGCATCACACCATAACATGAAGAATAATAATTATACAAGATCAAGCCAAAAGTGGTTGTATGGGATACTGTAACTTATAAATTGGGAATAAGTTGAGAATGGTAAATCGTATAACATTAGCCAATAGGCGAAATAAAACGTTATGATAAAAGGAATACATATATATATATATATATATATATATATATATATATATACATATATTTGATGAACACTGCTTAGGAAGTCCATCATAGTATAAGACAACTGTTTCATGGTTCTTTGTTTCGAACTGCTCCCTACTTAATATCGTTCCATGCAACATACTGCATTTCTTAGTGTTCAGCATGCCAAATTTTTTACCAACTGAAATGTCAGTTTAAAACAAAAATACAAACTTAGTCGCCCATAACTTACGACGCGCGAACGCCGAACCTCTAGACTACTGATCCCAGCAGCCAGCGGTGTACACGTTAGTTCACGATATGGTGCAGACATTTTTTGTTGTGAGCATGATGATATAGTATTCCAATTTTTCGTTTACTGTTTTTATTTTCAATCCTCAAGCAATTTCCCAACGAAAATGTGATGCCTATTTCAAAATAATTGAAGAACAGATAGAAAACATCAAATACGACCTTGTGGAATTCTTTAATCGAAAAATAAGAAATCATTTCAAATCAGAAAACTGTAAATTTTAGTTGTTTTTTTAAATATTGTTTTAATTCATTTATTAATCTAGATACAGTTGACTTATACAGGGAATCATCGGTAAGTGATTTCTTTCCTAGTGTTATTCTCTTCTTTTTAACTTATGTATAGGACGATGGTAAAATGCGTATTCAAATAATTGATTTCAATGTATTTGGTCCACCAACTGAAGCACTTTTATTTCAGTGGTCGGAATTGGAAAATGATGTACATGAAAATGTGAGTTTAGTTAACGCTAATTTTATAGTATACTTCGGTTTATATGACAGCGTAGTTGTTCAAACGCTAGTTTTACGGTTAAGGCATTCGAATACTAACCAATAGGTAGCAGGTCCAAGTCACACTCCACCTTTTTGAGTCCAGGCACCGAGGTAATATTACCATCTTTCTCACATAAAGTGCAGCTCAAGCCGAATACACGAATCTATACTTGTTAAATGAATGGCATCATATTAAAATAAAAAGTTGCAGCCTAAGACTTTCAGTGGGATTTGAAACTCAACCCATTTTAAATTTAGCTTATTCTTACTTCATCTCCCTTCCCATGCACAACTAGTGCAAGTTCACTCTTTGTCAGACTGGATAACACTCACTAACTAAGGCCTGAGAACCTTGTGTTGTTGGTGTATCTTTTCTCTAAAACCCATATACAGAACCCAAGTGACCCTAACGAAAAGATGTGGGCAATTCGTACGATCCGTCTTTCGCCTACCAGGAAACTCGTCAATGACGTCTGACGATCTTTCAGGTGTAAATATAGCATTAAGTATGGAAACATAACAGCCACTCCTAGAATTAATTCTAGTTGACAGTTACGTGTGTGCTGATTAAATAAATGGGAAAACAAGAATGTAAAAGAATTTTTTTCGTTTTATTTAATACACATATATACTACTACAATGGAGTGCCAAAGTAAGTATGTTCCACACACGGAAATGCTTTGGCATAAACAGTAGTGAGCATCAGTAAGTGTAGCACTAAAGTTTTTTTTCAAAAAAAAGAACAATATCAGAGAGTCAACTGTTAGTGGGACTATCTAGAAAAAAGACGGTATAACAGTTCAAAATAGGCGACTGGAATAACAAGAGGGAAGCCTTGAGGTACTGCTCTACAACAACCCTCCAGTTGCCTGCTACTGACTACGAACCTAAATAGAAGACTCATTAGTCTCCCGACTCTAAAAAATTTCATGAGCGACACAACCTAAGACGTTGGGTGGCACCAAGACCTGGTGTTATATTTCAGATGTTCTCAAAGATATGTGTATGAAACAATCATTGAAATTGACTGAGACACTAAGTATAGTCTAGATGCTTACAGTTATCTCGTCAGACTAGTCGTGATCGTTGGCACTTTCGATCCATAAAAAAGGATAGAAATCTTGTGATTATCATCAGAGAATCATGTTGATTGAAATCTCTTTTTTAAATAACGGCTGTCATAATTATCCAGCACACAAAGAAAGCGCGATAGTAGTAAACCTGAAAACATCAGTCGAATTTTCGACCTATCACAGCTTTTACAGATAAATAACGCTAGAGGCGCTATCAACAAACCACCACATTGATGTGGAGTGCTACATTTAATGAAAAATCACTTCATTATCATCCGTATTTTGTTGATAGGATACTATTCCGTTATTTCGCTACCAAAGTGACCAAAATATCCGTCCAAATTCAGTGAATCAATACAGCGTGCCAATCGATTTGATCGATATTGCTTCAGGATCTGATCCCGTTAAGGTGATGGATTTCATTCAAGCTGTAAGTCCGGAAACATACAGTTACTCATCTATTGTTTTTCATATAAACAGTACAAACGTAAACCTTTGTTACTGATAGCGACATCCCTTATTACTGACACTAGAAATATCACTAACTACTACTGGTATCCTCTCTAAAAGGTTATGTTTCATTGTCAATGCATTTCTAACATTCCTTTCACTTACCCACCATTGTCACACTAGTTCCCGATGTCTTTACATTCTTAAAAGGGTATCAAGATATAACGAGTTTAAAGTTGTTTTACGTCCTTGATCTGTCTACCCAGTAATATACAGGAAAGAAATTGTCTCGACCTAGGTTAAGGCCTTAACACGATAGCTTAACTGTTTTAACCTTGAGGCTAGAAATGCATGAGTCTGAATTGAGACTAAAGGCCTTTACCAGAAAGGGGAAGACTATTCCATAACCTGACTGGTTGGCTTCAATTTTTCCGGATCAGGGCGTGTTTCGTAGCGAACAAGTAGTAATTTCCTCATAGTCATACCTTTTTAACAGAAAGTTATTAAGTCTAACCACTATGTAGTAAATATGATGCATTATGTACGCGGTGTTGTTATATGGATTTTATTTGGAAACTTTGTGGTTACTACCTTTTATTGGCTTTTGTGAAACAAGTAATGTCACGCGTGAGGTTGTTCACCACTAACTACTTGTGAACAAATGATCCGAAGTACAAAAGTCATATTTATGGTATAGTGTCAACTATATGAAGTTACCCAATAGTGATCACATTCTTTTTCCCTTCATTTGGAAGAACCAAGTTGACAACATATCTATAACGAATTAGGACTGTATCGTATGATATGCGAAGTAACCGAATAGTCCAAAGTTGTAGTGACAATGTTCTCGTTCTAACAACAAATTGATAATAAACTTTTTGTGGAAATGTCTTTCAAAAGATATTTACCTTATTATACACTAAAATACTATAACCTTTTGTCACCCGTTTTGTTTTTTGTCTCATTCCACAGAAAGTAGAAAGTCAGAAACAGTCGTGAAATTGTATTTTCTATGTATCTGTTATTTTTCAATATTTCGAATAAAAAAATACATTTTTCTTAGATCAAGCTGGTAATTATTTTTCTTTTCTTCGAAGTTTTTGAAACCTTAGAAGGCTTTTTCCTAGCTGGCGACTGTTGCTTTGAACTATATTTCTGTGCAATCTTATCCAGAAAGTTTTCTGATGATTTTAATGCATTTTCATGTCGTGCTTGAATTGCCTTAGCTAATGTATCCAAATCTTCGTTAACATCAACTATCTGTTTTTTGTTTTTATTGTTCTGTTCCTTTGCAAACAACTTTTCTTCCTCTAGTGCTCGTTTAGCTCTTCTCTTTGCTTTTTCAGGTCTTTCATGTGTGTACTTCGTATATGCATCAATTTTACCACTAGATATCAATTTATCAATAAGACCGCGAACTCGACTTTCATCTCGATATGACGTGAGCATTAAAGACTCCATTATAATATCCATATCACCTTTAGAACGATTGTAGATCTTGATCAAATCTTCCGTTTCCTGTTCACTTCCTTTATACTTTTTACAATAGTCATCTATTTGTGCAGTTGTGATTTTAGGAAACAAAAGTTGCCAGTATTTAACCCAATCATCATATGATTTGCCTGTAATCTCATCGTCTTCATCGATAACACCTACAAATTAAGATTATTCGATTTTTATAAATCGAGAACCAACCTGTTTCATCATAGACTTTACGTTTCTCGTCATCTTCCATGTACGAATAGACTCTAGACAGTACTTGGAAACGTTTTGTCGCCTCTGACTTTGAGTCACTGTCATGGCGATCAGGATGATGAAGTAAAGACAATTTATAGAAAGCTTTACGAACTATAAAAAGATGACATATTTCATATTGTATATTTACGTCCAGTTTTGTCACACTTCTTAGTCACTCCTAAGACTTCATATAAGTTCTTCGTGTGAAAGTATTTAATGCAATCTTTTAGCAAACTTGACATTATATGACCTCAAAAGTCTAAAAAAAAATATTAAACGCTTGAGCGCACAACCTTAAGCGAAAATACATACGACTGTATATAGAAATCAAAATATATTTCAGAGAGAGTTTCCTGATTAAGAAATCTTAACATTTGACTCTTGTTTCCCCGTACTCTTGTCTAGCAAGCAGTCTCAGGAGGTATCAGTAAATAGAAAAGTTGTCAAACATTTGCTTGAAATTTCTGTATCATCAACCACCATAAATATAGAACGTCGCATAATATGAATCCACCCCAAAATCATACTTTTATTCCATTCATCACCAACCACTTAGTTCTTTTACACTGCAGTTTTGAATCCCCTTTGTGCCTTAAATGTCATACATGACACGACTTAGAGTGACGAAATGCGGAATCTATTATTCAATCAACCATACTTTGAATTTCTATAATAACAATAACAAGTTAATTAATACATGAATTCAGAAGCACTGACTCCTAGATGGTCATTGTTATTCGAGTGACTATAACAATAACAATTCATGATAGAGAACACTAACTTCTTATGAAAAATGTCTACTCAAGAACTCATCAAATGAAGGGTGTTAGTTATATATTTTAAGTTTGGGTTGACTGTCAGCCAAATATACTACGCAAAACCGCGCATCGAACCAAGTAATTGCACAGGTGATTGATCGAAAATATATTAGCTATTGTTTAGTAATCCTACTCTTCGAAATGGCTGTTAGTTGATAAGCTTGATAATAGCGCATAGACGCTATATGATAACAAATGGGTGGGGCGATATGAACTCTTATAGGACGCCGCGTTTGTTTGATGATGAAATACTACGTTAACACACCACATCCAAATATTATCATACCGCTCAATTTATGAAGATATAAGCACTCTTTGCACCCAACCATCGCTGATATATTCTATTCTTCAGTCGTTCGCTGTGAATTCTTCAGTGACCGGGAGCAGCGCAGCAAGCACAAAAGGAGGACTCAGAGTGACAGGAGGCAAGGGTTTGTATTCCAAAATGGAATAAGAGAGTACAACTAGAGACCATCTTTACAAGTTATGGGTTTTATGTATTATCGTATTTTCAGGACTTTCATCCTCTCCAATATATTCACTCTTTGTCTCTCTGTAACAAAAATATTTTACGTCAATATCATAAGTACAATGGTATCGAAATAATTATAACTAGCCATCTGTTAAAGAGTTGAAAATCTAAGTAATGCAAGACAAGGTATTATGTTCAATACCTTGACTAGATAATATAAACCAACTCAAACTTTGCTCGGCAGAATAAGCGAACTATCTGTTTATTGATGTGTCTGAGTGGTAAAAGAGCGTTTTTGTTTATTTATTTATTTGAACACATGAATATTAGTACAAGAGAGCGCCAATATATATGCGCCACACAAAACAATGAGAATTCGAAGAGAAGTAGAAGGAAAGAAAAAAAAACTAAGGAACGCAAAAGAAAAAGAGAACAATGACGAAGAGATTGGAGTAAGGTAGTGTGGTAGTAACGACGGAACGACAAGGTACAATCAGAAGAAATCTTTCAGGTAAAGGAGACACAACCACTTTTTATAAAGAAAGTAAAAGAAGGTTACAGCTGGATCGCCACTGGCTTCTATTCTGAGCCATATCTGATAACGTCTCTAGCCACTGTGTAGCACCATCTCTCAGACCCCAACCAGGGAGTCGTGAAGGACCGACACAAGCCAGTCCTTTGCAGCTTTCTTTCATACCACGACATCATGTCATGCACTGACCACCTCTCCGCTTCTTCCGACCAGTCCCAGAGTCGGCAAATAATGCACAACGTGGAATTCTCTGGGACGACATTCGGAGAACATGTCCAAGCCACCGAAGTCGGTGTTTCAAGATGGTAACACCAATCGAATTATCATCTCTGTGCCCGAACAAACGGTGCCGAACCTCTGCATTACCGACATGGTGTTACCACTGAATGTCAGCAATCCTTCGGAGACAGCGATGATCGAACACAGAGAGTCGTCTAACGTCCTCAACTCGGAGAGGCCAGGTTTCACAAGCATAGAGCAAAACTGCTCTCACCGACGCGTTGTAGATCCGATTTTTTACAGCCAGACTAACATCACGAAGGCGCCAAAGATGGCCCAGATTGGCATAAGCCGCTGTCTTTCACTATTCGTGCATTGATCTCATGACTCACACCCCCACCAGCACTTATGCAGCTACCCAGATACACGAACTTCTCGACTACGTCTATCTACTCACCATCCAGGGTGAGTGCAGGATTGGAATCCTGCCAGTCCTGTAGAAGTACTTTGCACTTCGAAGGTGCAAAGCACATACCATACCTACGGACACTGATTGCCAACTGATTAAGTGCGGATTGCATGCCTTGGGCATTATCGCACAGTAAGACAATATCGTCCGCATACTCAAGGTCGAGAAGTCTTTCTCCAGGCAACAGATCCACACCACCATTACTTACATCCACTAGAGCTGTTTCCAGAATGTCATCGATGGCAAAGTTGAAGAGGAATGGTGAGATTGGGCAACCCTGCCTAACACCACTGCTCGAATGGAACAATGGAGAAAGGTGGTTGTATGCCCTCACTCTGCCTGAGGTGTTTTTATATAGGGTTTTTAGGATGTTAATAAACTTCTCAGGCACACCCTTCTTCAATAGACAATCCCAGAGAACAGTCCTGTCCAACGAATCGAAGGCGGTCCTGATGTCAAGAGACACTAAGATTGTTGGCCTTTGATAAGTATGGCGGTGTTCTAACATTTGGCGGAGGGTGAAGATATGATCAATACATCCTCGACCAGAACGAAAACCCAGCCTGCTCCTCGCGAGTCAATCTTTCTCGGGTTTTGAACAACCTACGAAGTACGACGGAAGCCAATAGCTTGGACGCAATAGGAAGTAGACTTATCCCCCGATAGTTGTTACAGAAACGACGTGAACCCTTTTTAAAGATAGGGACAACTATCGACTCATTCCATGACGTTGGTACACTCTCTAGTTCCCAAACCTTTGTAAACAACGTCGTCAATTCCTTAGTCAGAAAGTCACCACTATCTTTAAAAAGAGCCGGAGGTAAGTCATTTGGGCCAGGTGATTTGTAACGCTTCAAGAGTTGGAGTTCCTTGCGGACTTCCTCCTCGTTTGGTGGATCAGCCGTCACCGGCCATGGAGGGTAGGACAGTCTGACCGGTGCTGCCGGAGCAGCAGGCCAGTTGAACTGCCCTTCGAAAAATTCTGCCCACCGTCCAAGACGTCGATGGATGTTAGTGATTGGCATCCCATCATCCTCGCAGATTGTTTCACTCACACCAGACTTCTTGCTGCCAGTGGCTCGGATGAGTTGGAAGAGCTTCCGGTGGTTACCAGATGCAGCTGCTGCTTCCAGCTCATTAGCACGCTTCGACCACCAGGCTTCTCGGTCCTTACGCAAGCTTTGCCCAATTTCCTTACGTAACATCCTTCGTTTATGGTCAAACTCACGGTCACCCGGAGTAGACCGACGGGCTTCAATGAGTTGTAAGGAACCAGAAGAAACCCAGTGCTTATAAGCGGGACGTTTCGCAAACCCACAACTGACTGTACCCGCCATTTTCATGGCGTCATGTAATTGCAACCAATGCTCATCTATACTTTTCGGTGGAATGGTAGCTAGCCTAGAGGCTAGCTCGGTTCGACACTTACTTGCAATAGAAGTTGCAACCAGCTTGCTAATATCAATCCTTTGCTGGCAGTCACTTCGTTGGCCACTGAAAAGTAAGGCAAGATTGGCGCAGACCAAGGCATGGTCAGAGTCCAGATAGGTACTCCAAAAGGAGCGGCAGTCTTTTACACAACTACGCCAGCGGTAGATGATCGCGATGTGATCAATCTGAGTCCAGGCTTGAGATTTAGAGGGAAGACGCCAGTTGGCACATCGGCGATGACTGTGCCGGAAGTTAGTGCTAGCCAGAAACAGGCTGTGGTCTGTGCATAGTTGCAGTAGACAGTCCCCGTTATCTGTCCTGCGACCAACAAGTCCCCATCGGCCACCTAAACGACTCTCTTCTGTGCCTAGACGCCCGACCTGAGCATTCAAGTCTCCGGCTAGTACTACAATATCTGTCGAACGCACTTTCTGGAGAAGAACAGATAACTGGTGGTAAAACTCATCCGTGATTGCATCCGGGCTGCAATCTGTCGGGGCATAGGCGGAGATGACGAAAAGACATCGTTTCTCACGCCGATTTCTCACTTTGATGGAGCTTTCCAATCTAACAGCACATAACCGACTGTTAATGGGGATCCAATCGATTAGTGCTGCCTCAGCTCTAGCGATTAGTGCGACACCAACGCCAGCAAGACCAGACGAAGATGCCACAGGGTCTCCGGATAAGCGCACGTAAAACAAGCTTTTCGAAGCGACAGATGGAGATCGAATTTGTAGTACTTCGCCAGAGTCTTGAATACGGGTCTCGGATAGACAACACACGTCGATATTAAGACTTTCCAAAGACATAGCCAGCCCTATCTGTTGTCCGACCTGCATAAGTGTGCGAACGTTGAAGGCAGCCAGTTTGAATGGTGCACGTGATTTCAGAAAAACTGCTTCAGTACTCATATTCAGTGGTAACATACAATTATCAACCGGACAATGACTCTAGGACGTTTAGATACAGTCGAATTTCCACCAAAGACGAGCCGCTGTATAAGTATAAAAGAGGGTGAATATTGTGGAAAATAATACTAATGACAATAATAGTAATAATAATAATAATAGTATTAATAATGACAATACTTGTTATGATAATAATTTGAATCAATTGGTTTTTTTTCGAAGCGAGAAAAGTAATTTCCATAGACATAAAGAGTTCATCATTTGTGTGTGGGCTGTGATACTGCCCGGGTGCCCAAACCGAAGCAGGTGGTTATCTTGGGGGGGCGACATCCCCAGCCTTTGACCTAAATGTCTAACCCACAAGGCAGTGGAGCATCGTAAGGAGATGCAATCCCATGGTAGCCGGTGACCAACGATTGGTTCATACGCCATTTGTTCAATCTGGATACTGGAGCCCATGTGCACCATTGGTTTGTGATCCGGTTAAAGCGCCGGACATTCGCTTTTCGTCCTCTCATTTTCGTAAACAACACCCGTGGTGCGAGAAGGCAATGAGTAGGACTTCCCTGGCAGAGGCTGTATACGCGCGGCCGTGTGAGAGTATTTCGAGAGGGAGAGCGTTTTTGACGATAGAAATGTGCAGTTCTGCATCGCACATATTGCAGATTCACTTATTGATGTTAGGTAGTAGTTCAGGTTCTTTGATTGAATTGGTGTTTATGTAGCGACTCGGATTATATATTCCTAGTGATAAGTAACATGTGGTTTGATTTCCTTCTCTGTTTTTATTCAGTTTGATAGAGACAGAGCAATGGATGAGTTACGTAAGTCCTGGTGATGGGGTCTCTTACCGAATCTAAATTTCTTCTAAATGAGCCTACGTGTGTGTTTTAGGGAGTTCCACCGCTTGGTGTTTCTATAGAAAAGTTGGTAGTCACCCCATAAGTAGTAGTTTCTGGGCTTGTGAATCTCCACGTAGTGTCCTTCTAGATTCTCTGTTCTGAAGGACATGAAATATGATGGCATTTTAAGTGAAGAATTATAACTAACCGATTTGAACACCATGATCAAGTCACTACTAGATTTTACCTATAGCAAGGATAATTAGTTTAGTCGGTCGCTCGCTTGCGTAGTGAACTCCAACGGAAGCTTAAACAAGATGTAATAATATCTCAAACTGAAACGGCAGTGTGCAAATAAGAAAGTGGTAAAAGTACAACATAATGACAGCCTTGCGTTAACCAATCAGAATTAGAGTAACGCCTCATGAATTTCGCTTCAAGTTCACAATATCCCGTGCTTCCCATCCAGATAATTATCTGCGATTTTTTTTGAAAAGCCTGTATTGTAAATCAAGATGTCTACTGAATAATCTTTACAGATGAATAAATTGCACTTTTGGATGTAAATATAATGATGATACACCCGCTACTAGTTTACGAGTGTATAGACAAAAGGATGAGGGACTTTATATCTATTCTGAGAGATAAACCAATAATCCAGGCTTTAAAAACCAATACACGAAAAGTGATATGTAAATTCATGACTCAGGATATATATATATATATATATATATATATATATATATATATATATATATGCATCGCTTCTTCGACACTGGCGTGCCTAAGAAGATAGTCAACAATTCCTATTAAACTGCAAAATTGTGCATGGAGAACAGCTCATAGACTCGTTCGAAGTAAAGACCGGTGTCAAGCAAGATTGCTTACTCTGACCCTTTCTCCTGGTGATCGGCTGGATTATGAAGACATCTTCATCTGAGGTAAGCACAGGATACAGTGGACAGCTAGGATATGCTGGACGACCTAAACGTCACAGATGATCTGGTTCTTTTATCGCATACGCAACAACAAATGCAGAAGACGACCAGCGTAGCAGCAGCAGTAGGTTTCAACGTATACACCACCCCCATTCCTGTTTTTTCTGTCGTTGCGAAATAAAGATATCCCGAGTATTGCTAGCTCTAGGTCCGTAAATTGAGATATTCTTATCGAATGAGTATCATTGGTACTACTAAATTCGCACAGCTCATCCATTTTATTTGGTAAATTCGTGGCATCCATATATAACTAATTTATGCTTTCAGTTCGAAACCCATGATCTTCCCCATCCTATCTGTATGAGCCTTATGTGAATGGACCTGATGATATCGCTTTCAGAATATAGTATGTCAGGCATTATTTTTACAACCCCACCTGGTTTCAGTGAGTGACTAGCCAACAGAACATCCACTGCGTCGGCAGCGTTAGTGAGCGTTGCGCCGACTTAGTCTTGGGTGGTTTTGATCCTTGGAGTCCTTTCCCCGAGTGAGCCGTATGACAGTCAGAGGCTCTATATTGGGAAGTTCGAGCTTCCTGTTTAACTCTTTCTTAAAGCATCCCGTCACTTTTGCCATGTAGATTGAGGAGAATGTCAGAGCTGTTTTTAAGGTTCATGATTACGAGAATTGTCGCGAACCCTGGTTGTTTTCCTAGGTTTTCGTATACGTTTAGGATGCAACTTTTTTGGTAATCGAAGTGCGTTTCAGATTCCTTACTGACTGACTGGACAGTATTAGGGGTAGACTGTATGGCAAAATTACCACTCGGTTTCACTGCAATACCTGGGATGTTCTGCTTTCTAGACGGTGATAGACTTCTGTTTAACTTTGTTGACGGGAGTCCAACCACCTATAGAGCTTTTGGGGACCTGTTTTGTTCAGAGACCCTGTGCTGGGAGACACAATTTTACTGGGTGAGTCTAGTGCTGTCGATTTTATGATGGTGCTAGGCTTCAGCATGTCCTTACTGGTGTTGACGCATGTTCCGTCGATACTAGCGTTGCCGATGTCCCTCTTTTTTCTTCACCGCGCGCCTTTGTTTGCCTACCCGTCTTAAGACTAATTTTTATCAGATTTACTGACAACTTTTTCCACAGACCCATCAAGAGAATGATGGTGGTGCTCAGCCAGTCCTCAACATTCATGTTCCACGTGACACATACCCACCTAGTATCCGAGTTATTAAGTATGTCGTAAGTAGTTACTGTGAGATCTGTTCATGCTTTGTGGAACCAACATTTGCATTTATCACACTGCATTCCAGAGGTGACAATAAATCGGCATCCGGTTGTGAAATTTTGGTGAGATTACAATATTTGGATGACCTTTAAGAGACGCTAGACCGACCTGAAGAATACCCACCTACTAACAAGAACTTAATAAGGTTTATAAACCAGGGTGAGGAACTAAAATTATTATTTACAGTTGATGGTTAAGGATAGGAATTAGATTTAGGGTTTTCGTCACGAACTGATATCAACTACAATGACGAAACTCTATTTAGCCAAATGAGTGAGTGAATTCCGCGCCGAAATCCAAGACTTGTTATGTTATATCTGATTGGTTCATCCATAAATTAGTCTCGCAGTAATTTTTAACAGATCCTAGAAAAGGTCTACGACCATAAGTCAAAAAACAGCACACTAAAAACGGATAAAATGGATAGAAACGGGTGGTGCAAAAAATTTGGATAGGTGAAAACTAGCCGTAACGTGAAAAAGTGAAAAATCAAATAGTAATTCGAGACAAAACCACAGTCAACTATTAACTTGGGTAGAACTCAAGGAAAGTATTCTACCACGCATTAAGCTTAGGATGGATTATTTGGGTTAAAAACGATACTTTCATTGCGTAAAGACACAGCATAAGTTCGAGAAATGCAAATCACTTTAGGAATGACCGTTCCGTTTCAAACGCAAAAAGCAACGTACTTATCAAATAGCCACAAATGAAGCATATGCATGTTATAACAAATAAACAATATTTTTGTCGGAAAAATCATTAAACATGCATGTCAATATTTTCGTCACACACGACTTCTGAGATTCCATGAATTTACCTAATTCCGGTACTTTGAAGCACTCCTAGCAGTTGATTGTCTTTTTGGAAAAGGATGGCTGTTTATACGAGTCTCCTGGTTTCCAACATATTGAATGTTGTATAAAAGGTCAACACTCTCTTCACACCTGCTTAGCTGAAGACAATACTTGAGGAATTCTGAAATGGCACTGTATAGCAGTTTTCAAGGCTCACTTAATGAATGACTCATAAGCAACTTCACCAGTTGAAATCATGAGTCACTTGAAGCTAGACCACCATGGGCAGCCGTTTCGTCCTAGTATGGCACTCCTCAGCAGTGCGCATCCACGATCCCGAGATTCGAACCCAGGGCTCATCAGCCTCGCATTCGAGCGCTCAACCGTTAAACCACTGAGCCGGCATCCAACGGTGTTAATGTCTAACTTTAACCAATCCACGAAATTGTATATCTAAATAATTTAATATAAAACATAAGTGCCTTGAAAATAATAAATGATAACTTTGTTTAGATTATCAGTCAGGTTCTAGCGTAAATTTTAAACGGTTTTTGGAAATTGCGGGTTTAAATTTCAGATACAGCCGATATTTTTTGATCTCATGTACGGGACTGGACCCGTTTTCACAAATCGTGAACAAATGTAAAGGTCTTTTTTAAGAATTCCAGGATCTTAAAAAATTTAGAGGCTCTTCATAACCCTCCCTCGAAATTCTTAGTGAAATTACGAAAAGTGATCAATTTTATCCTACACTTAGGAGCTTAGGTCGTTTATATTAGTGTTTCAAGTCAGCTTACTGGTGTATTGAACTTAATGTCGATGAGATTTGCACCGATTTCTAAAAACATGGAGAAACAAAGTAGGGAATCGCATGACAGCATTAATGTCGAAGGCTTACTGATTCCGGTGATTTCTTTACAGTTACAGTCTTCCAGGTGGCAGTTGAGTTGTATTTTATTCAAGTTGTTTGGATCACTTACAATTAACTTTGTGTCATCATGGTTAGTTGGCATGCATTGTTACTCACTAATAATGTACCTCAAGATGAACTCTGTCATGCTTCATACTTATTTCTCTTGCTAACACTGGCTTCTGATCAGCATAATCCCACTTCAAAGGCAATGTTACGAATAAATCGATTTGTTATTAATAAAAGGGTTTGTAGCGTGGCGTCGAGTTGAGATTAACTGTGAACACCGCTACCAAGAAACACGTGCCAGATAAACCAGAAGGCGAGGATTGAACGTAACCAGATTTATTTCGTTGGCGATCTCGTGGTATTGAACGAATACCGAGATCGTGTCAAGAAAAGGTACAAGCGAAAACAGAAGACAGGAGTACGTGCGAACAGTACCAGAAACCGCGGAACAATGATGGAAGGTAATGGAAGCACAAAATGGCTATAATTAGCACAGTTAAACAAAAGCACATTAAAACAAACACTGGTACAGTTGGTTATAATAATAATTGTTTTTATTAAACCAGTCGTGTTCTCGTGATAAACGTGAGTCACTACAGGAGCCTCCCGCTAGAAAGGGTTTACACTTTCGATAAATAGCGGTTTGAATCGTGGGACTGATCGGCTGATGAGCGATTGTAGGACAGAAGAATTGGCGAACAGGAAAGCGATCGTTGATCGTCGAGTTGCCAACGAAGGTCGTTTTCGGAGAACAGTACCAGGAGCGATGTGTTGTATTTATTGCTCGAGTTGGCATGCTACACCAGAATGGTTTGTATCCAGAATCTGAAGAGGGCGTTCGTAGAGGTGCGCACCAGAAACGCTGCAGACGTAGGACGAAACCACGTTGAGCCAAAAGACCAGAAGCGACCGTAACGATCAAGTTCGAGACCAAGCGTATGCCCAGGATTCTAAACCAATATATCGACTGAGTACGTTGACAAGAGTGTGGGTGATCAGGACAGCTTTCGCCAAAGTTGACTGAAGTCGACGGAACCAAATGGAGATGGTCGAAGGCGTGGGCTCAGGAAACAAAAAGAAAATCAAATAAAGAAGAGTGTAGCATGCGTGTAGTATAGGAATAATTCTACACCGTAATTGTTGTTGAGTGTGCGACTATTCGCGGAAGCGTACGGGTAACCGTACTCGGCGACCGGAACGTGAGACGGCAGTCTCGTTCGCGTCGTGTGAGCCTTCAATCTCATCCGAAGTCAAGGGCGGTGTAGTCTGCTGATCTGGACGTGAGACTGTCGTCTCGTCCGTAGACGGTGCAGATGACGCGTGCTGTTGACTGGGACGTGAGAATGAAGTCTGTAATGTATCTAGCGTGGGACCTGAAGAAGATTTAAGGATCCCGCTTGTAGGTTTGATAGGTCTAGCATTGAATCTCAGGTTATCAGATAGGGCACTGTCATCGACGTGTGCTGGTTTGAGACGATCAATGCTGACGATCTCGACGCGGCCATATCGATCAACCTTGAAGGTCTTTTCGTGACGAGCGATCACGTGAAAAGGGCCTTCGTAAGGTTGTTGCAAAGGTTTGTGTACCGAATCTACTCGTATGAAAAAATGTGAACAGGTAGATAACTCTCGAGGGAGAGCGACCTGTCGATGTTGTATTCGAGTTGACACCGGAGACAGCGTTCGCATAAATGCAGACAGTCGATGGACGTAGCCTGATTTAGCGAAATTAGGTCTGCTCCGTGGTGTGAAGAATTCTCCGGGCAGACGCAATGTCGTGCCGTGTACCAGTTCAGCGGCGGGACTTTGGATATCTGCGTTCAAGCTCGTTCTAATGCCTAAGAGAACGAGCGGTAAGGTTTCGTACCAATTGTCGTTTTCGTGCGCTCGAAGAGCACTTTTAAGTTACCGGTTAAACCTTTCAACTAAACCATTTGAAGCTGGATGGTAGGCGGTAGTGCGTATTCGTTCCGTACCAAGCAGCCGAGTGAGTGAGGAGAATAGTGCGGACTCAAATTGTTGTCCTCGGTCAGTCGTGACAGTCGAGGGACAACCATATAGAGCTATCCATCGTTCTACGAAGCGGTGAGCAACTGTCTCCGCCGTGATAGACGTGATGGGTATAGCTTCGGGCCATCTGGTGAAGCGGTCAATGCACGTGAGTATGTGATCATACCCGTGCGATGGTGGCAGTGGTCCTACAATGTCTAAGTGAACGTGATCGAAGCGAGCATCAGGCGTAGCGAATGTACCGAGGGGGGCGGCTACGTGCCTGTGCACTTTTGATCGTTGACATTGTAAGCATTGCTTAGCCCACATACGAACATCTTTATTCATGGACGGCCAGACGTATCGTGCAGCGATGAGGCGTAATGTAGCTGCGATACCTGGGTGAGATAATCCATGCAGGGCATCGAAAACGAGACGGCGATAAGCAGAGGGTACGATAGGTCGAGGAAAACCGGTAGAAGTATCACATAGAATGGTGCCAGAAGTCGTGGCTAGAGGTACTTCCTGATACTGAAGGGACGTAGAGTGTGGTGCTTTTGTACAGCTGGGATCGTTTGCTTGGGCAGCGGCCATAGCAGGAAGATCGAGCACCGGCAGGGTAACTGCATTCATTTGGATTCTTGATAGAGCATCGGCAACACAGTTCGACTTGCCTTGGATGTGACGAAGGTCTGTCGTGAACTGGGAGATATAGTCCAAATGTCTGCACTCTCGTGGTGAGTAGCGGTCAGACTTGGTATGCAAAGCATACGTTAAGGGCTTATGGTCGGTGAATAAAATGAATCGACGTCCTTCTACTGCGTGCCGAAATTGTTTGATGGCGCAGTAGGCTGCTAGCAGCTCGCGACCAAAAGCGCTATATTTTGTCGCCGCGTAGTAAGTCGGTTAGTGGTCGTAACCGTTCTGCCGCGTGTGGGATGAAACGACGGTAGAAGTTAACCAAACCGAGAAAAGCCTTCAGTTCCTTGAGTGAGGACGGCACGTTGTACTCCTTTATTGCTTGCACTTTGTCCTCACAAGGTAAAATACCCTCTTGCTTGATAACATGACCCAGAAATATTATTTCTCGTTTACCTAACTCGCATTTGTCTGGGTTAACTACTATTCCATTATCCGAAAGGCGTTGGAATAATAGCGTAAGATGTTGATAATGTTCATCTACGTTTGATGATGCGATTAACAGGTCATCAATATAGACGTGAACAAAATCGAGGTCTCGTACAATGCTATCGATAAACCTTTGAAAAGTTTGAGCAGCATTCCGTAATCCAAATGGCATTCGTAGGAACTCAAACAAACCGAAAGGAGTCGTGATAGCAGTCTTTTCGATATCTTCAAGAGCGACTGGGATCTGATGATATGCTCGTACCAGATAGTCGTGCCCTTGAGCGATGCCGTGATGTCGTGTATGTGGGGGATGGGGTAGCTATCAAAGCGCGTAACTACGTTTAGAGCTCGGTAGTCGCCGCATGGTCTCCAACTAACCCCATGGACTGTGAGAAGGACGAATAATATCAGTAGCTAGTAAATTGTCAAACTCACGCTTAGCAAAAGCTAATTTGTCCGGTACCAGTCGGCGAGGTCGTGCCGTGACTGGCGGTCCGCGGGTGACTATGTGGTGTACCACACGATTGGTCACCGATGGAAGCTCCTCGAGTGGTTTAGTGAGTACGGGGAATTTCTCGAATAAAGCGTGGAATTTATCGTCACGCGAGTAAAAAGTGCCAAGGATTCGGTACGCGTTCATGTGGGCTTTACAGCCCATGAATTTGCTGTTCGACGAAGTATCGATTAGCTGCAGCCTACGTGAATCGACAAGCAATTCATGGTGCTGTAGAAAATCGATACCTAGTATGGCTGTGGGAACATCAGCAATGATGAACGTCCACAGATACCGTCGTCGGTTGCCCAGGTTGACCGCGAGTTGTCGTGTACCGTAGGTAGGAATGACTGAGCCATTCGCAGCGCGTAGTCGAAGCACTGT